GAAAACCTATTTAATCTAAATTGTGCAGCAAATGACTTTATTTTGTAACTCAAATTAGACAATAAATAAGGAGCTGGAGTCCACATTCCATTAAGAAAAATTTTACTCTCCCAACCTCTTTCACTCAAATAATGAACATCTTTTAACCAATATAAGTCTCTTAGTTGTTGATCACAGTCCAGTAGGAACAAACTTTTACTTAAAAAATTCATATAACTACAGGACAATCCAGTAGGCTATTATTTAATAATCATTTAACTATAACAGGCCATGGCTTCAAAAAAGAATTACCATTTATCTGTGAGTCTTGTATATGTTACTGGTCAAACCCAATTTCAGGCCAAACTAGTTTATCCTATGCATGTCAGGATATACTAGTTTAGCCTAGGACAATCTAGTTTGGCCTAAATACTTTAGGCTTAACTAGTTTATCCTAGACCGAACTGATTTAGAATTATTATTTAAGTCAGGCCTGACCAACCCAAATTTTTTGCGGACCACTTTGATCACATGTAACATTAAAATGGGCCACAATTTAGGCAAACATGCTTTTAAAAAAGTAAAACAAATACAAAATGAATAAGATTTCATCGTTATATCAAGAGTTTGTACTCACACTTGCGCATTATAACAATGACATAATGCAAATTTTCATTTATTTAATTGTTTTGGTATACACAAAACGGAAAACGAAAGTTTTAATAGATATATATCGCTTAGCGGGCCACACAATTTAATAAAAATAACTTTTAAAGTCAAACTAAAATTAAAAATGATCTTGATTAAAAACCTACTACTGTGAGGTAGGAATAAGGACTTATCACACCAGGGCTAAAAGCAATTTCCTTTATAAAAATGATCTTGTTTATGTTTCTTAGTGTAACATATAAAATATTTAATCTTTTATTTATTTTTACAGGGTGGGTTAAAGTGTACCTAGGTAATCCCAATGGTGGCACTTCGGACTGTTTGTGTTCCCAGCGGGCTCCTCCTGGAGGGGAGGCGCTGGCAGGCTGTCCATTGTTTAATGTCACCAGTTACTGATTCACAGTAGTTCTTGAACAAAAGAAAAAAAAAGGAAACATCTATTAAAAATGTAATTAACCTAACCAAACCAATCTAACCGAAGCACTGCCATTAGGGTTACCTAGGTACTGTACACTTTAACCACTGGGTATACTGTGGTGGCATTTCAAATTATTCAAAATCATTTTTTTTTACACTGACACCTATTTGTAGTACATAAATCAGTTTGGCCTGAAATCAGGTTTGGCCGGTAACATATATATCTTATTGATAGATATATCACATGGAGTTTTTCTTTGTGGTGTGTTGAACATTTTACAGATTTTTATTGATTGTAAGAATTTATTTGAAAGTGATTACTGACAAATTATAAGTCAGTAATTTGGAATGCTTATTAGCATTTACAATTTATAAAACCCACCCCTATTCTCAAAATTAAGCTTTTTTCCATTTTATAAGTGCCACCAGAATTTTAAATGTTGCTGGAAAGTTAAGCAATTCATTGCTGAATTTTTTACATTTAAATGGACCCACATTACATTTCTGGATTCCTCATCTGAATTAATGGAAAATGGCAAAGTTTAATCAAAATTGATCCATTATATTTTGAGAATGAACTCAAGTCTATATGCTCATACAAGATGTGCTAGTGACTGTGAAACATCACATGGCTTTGTCATGTGATTTGCAGTGGTGTGCCATCCATGGAAGCTGTGGAAACACCGCTTTCCTTGTATTTTCTAAAATATAAATACGTATTGTTCGATTATTTTCATATTTTAACATACTTTGAATTAATGAAAATTAATATTTTATTATATTTGCATTATGTATCTTATTAGAAATTTCTATTCATGTACAAACAATGATGAGATTATTATTTGTATATTTGATATAAATTCATATATGCATATTCCAAATGGAAGCGCTTTATTGTTGAATATGGGATTGCTTCCACGGCAAAAATATTTGAATTGTGTAAAGCAGCCAGATTATATGCATTCATGCATGCACTTTACAGAGCACCAACCTCATGTAGTTTAGCTCATGGATGCTACACACCAAAATATCATATAATGGCTTCCAATGATTCTATCCAGGGCCGGCAGAGTTTCCCTATCATCAAATGTCACCACACGCCACTAGTGATTTATGCTTTGTTGCACATGTTCATGAAATGAACTTATATCTCAAAAAAAAAATTATGGACTCCATGTTTTATTGCATTTTTAGATTTCGCATTGCAATTAATGGAAAATTGCAAAGTTTAATCAAAATCTATCAAATGGATTTCAAGAACAAACACAATTTTGTAAGCCTCATAGAAGAAGATTCACTAACACTCCACTTCTGTTATATATTTCTCCACTGATAAAAATTACTTGATTTGATTATATTATTTAATTATTAAAAATTATTTATGGTGATTATGTACTTATCAAAACTGAAAAATTTGTCTGATCTTTAATAAAGTTTGATCATAAATAAGATTTTAATACTTTAGCTAAATTTGGCATATTATTTCTACATTGTAATTCTAATTATTGCTGTATTTATATTTGTTTTAAGTTTGCAAATATGGTATAATTAGGACTGTACTGACTGCAATATTAACAATATGTTGGCAAATGATAATCAATCAACTTACATATTTGAAACTGAGACTGATGTTAAATTTTAAATATGTTTAGTTATATATGTTGTTTTAATGTATTATTAATAAAATTTTAATATACTTTTGTCTGTTGACAACCTGATCCCAATTTCTTTGAACCCAACTTGATCTTGAATCAAATTAAATGGATATATAACAATGTTTTGAAGATTAAAATGGTAGTGTATTCTGAGAAAACATATGACAGGAAACAAAATGTGTCAAAAAGGTACACTTTACATGAATGACAAGACTACAGAAAGGAATGAAGTATATTGAGGACTGGCTGTCCTAAATAAATTTCATCGTTTAAAAAAAGCAGGCAGATTCAGGAGGTTGGATGTCTGAGAGATTGCTGAAAGAAGTGCACACCACACTTATTATAAAATAATAATACCCATTTATTTATGTAAACTATTTACGTGTATACATAGGATAACAGAGTGTTCCGTTATAGCCTTTATATAGTGTCACATAATGGATAAGGCTTATATAGTGTAACATAAGTGATTAGACTTTATACTAGTAGATACTGTTTAATGGGTTGAGCTGAGAGAGAGAAAGAGATAGAGAGAGCTAGAGAGAACTAGCTGAGAGAGAGAGAGTTTACATTTTTACGCATGATGCTAAATACCTTGATTGGTCAAATCGGCTTGATTGAAGTCTTGAGGTTGCAAAATGTCCTGATGATAGGGTGGAGAGGTTTCAGCTAGGTTGGGTAGAGTTAGGCTCCTTGATGGTACAGTTCACTATCAAATGTTTGTTGCTAAGGCATCTATGGAGAATGGCAGATGAAGGGATCGGTGATGGGGCACAGTTAAACTATACTCACATGAAAGGGAGGTGGTTCGGCAAACTCTGTCATCATCTTGTCTTTTATCTCAGGGTCATCCCCGTTGTTCCCTTACCCTTCTAATAGCAAATTCTCATCACCAAGTTCTTGGTGACACATTTGATGTATCATCTTGAAAGGGAAGTGACTCCATAGAGGGATACAATCATATCCTTTATAATTTTAACAATCATGGGAAAAATTATAGCAAGTTTTAATTTCAAAAATTAAATTTTCACTCGCAAAAATTTTTTTTGTTAAGTCTGAGATCTCATAAATGATTACAAGGAAATTTTTGACACAAAGTAGGTCATGCCTACTACTTGAGTTTTTGAACATTTTGTGGACGGCAATAACATGGTGTCATATGTGAGACTGGGGGTAATAGGATGGAGTAGGAAATGACGAGATTTGGAGTCACCAACACAATTAACTACACTTAAACATTTATTGGATGGCATGAAAGTTTGTACATAGTTAAGTAAGACATAGTATTTGTGTTTACATGCATTATCATAGTGGAGGGAGGGAGAGAGAGAGAGTTCACAAATTTCGATACATTACGAGTCTGAACTAGAAATCCCACGTTGAGGAGAACTGTAAATCAGTCCTTGACGTCAATTAACAGTTCTGAAGAATAGTGCAGTGCACAAGCAGGACGATGAGAAATCTGAAGGCACAGAAATCTAAGGAGGTGCACAAACGAAACTGCAGACAGTAATAGCACACAGGCACAGATATTAAAAGCTTGAAGAATGAGAGATGATTGACTAAACTTGCCTGTTCTTCATCATAGTCAAAGGTGCAAATTTCTTATAGGTGACTAAAAGTCAAGGAAAAGGTATCATAAGGTGTCACTATCAACTCTGAGAAAGTGTAAGTTGATACTCTCTCAAGTCAGAAAGTTGAATATATTAGCATCAATGTGTTGTTTTCTTTTAACTTGTTCAATTCTCAGATATTTAGTTAATAACTGATAAATCTGCACATTTATAAATAGGATTTATAAACTTCTTTGTTAAGCTATTCACTTCTAACATTTAAAGAATTGTATTATTTATATTTACAATAATTAAATGAAAATTATTCTTTCCTTCTTTCCTTCCTTCAATCATGTAAATTATGATTTGATATTAAATATGAACAATAAAATAATATAAATTAAGTACCAAAATGTTTGACAAATTTAAATCAATAAAAAATTAATTATATTTTATTATTAAATTTTCATAAAATTATTATTAATTTACTTGAGTCTTAATTTAGAATAAGTATTTATTTACTTAAAATAATTTATATTTAACAATTGTTCACATTTTAGTTTTTCACTTTTGATAGTTTTGATATTACAGTACTGACAGATATCGAATATTTATATTTGGCCAATAATTAGTACATTGTAAAAATAATTGTTGAACTAGTGAATAATTGTATTAATTTAAAAATAATAATAAATGATGAAGCTGCTGACTGTTACTAATTATGCAGTTGCAGATAGAACCAATAAGTAAAACCAGTGTTACTTCAAAATACAAAGGATTCATTCAAGCCTTTTTTCTGATTCCTTATGAAGAAGGTATTGGAGCGTTGTGGAAGGGTCACATACCTGCTCAGTTTCTTTCAATATTGTATGGTACAATACAGTTTTCCACATTTGAGCATTTAACTTTTCGAGCCTGGAAGCATCTTCCTCCAGACATAGAAGCGAATTGGAAACCTACCATTCATTTCTTTTGTGGTGGTGCAGCAGGATGTGTGGCCACTGTCGGAGTGCAACCATTTGACGTCCTTCGTACCCGATTGGTGGCACAGGGAGAACCAAAAGTAATTCATTATAAGTTACTAGTATTTATGAGTTTTCACTTGATAGAAATACAATTCTTTATTTTTATAGGCATATACAGGTATGTATCATGGAGTAATAAGTATAATAAGTCAGGAAGGTTCAAGAAGTTTGTACAAAGGTCTGGTTCCTACCCTCATTCAGATTTTACCATACACGGGAGCACAGTTTAGCTTTTATAAACTTTTTCAACAATTATGGAATAAATACACAAATAGACCATTGGGTAAATTTCATTTTTTTTTTCCTGTTAGTTAATATTCAAGTAAAATACCAAGAGTAAAGAAAATATTTTTTCCTTTGTTCTTAAAGGTCTGCTAGGAACGACGATCTGTGCTTCCTCTGCTGGTATAGCAGCTAAAGGTGTGGTATATCCCTTAGACTTAATAAAAAAACGAATTCAAATTCAAGGTTTTCAGAAAGCCAGAGAACAGTTTGGAAGTTTTCGCAAGTACAAGGGTGTAACAGACTGCTTCATTTCCACTTTAAGAGAAGAAGGAATTAGAGGTTTATACAAAGGGTTTTTCCCGAGTGTCGTAAAAGCTGCAGTTGTGACTGCAAGTTATTTTGTAGTATATGAACAGATAATTAAATTATTACTTTTGAGACACCAGAAAGATAATAGATAACTGTAATTAGAAATTTTATTATAATATTATCTACTAAGAATAATAATGTATAAAGGAATGTAATGTAACTATTAAAGATGACCAAAAAAGTAATAATTTGCACTGTAAAGAAAAATTGAAATGTTAAAAAAATATTTTCAATTTACAAACATACTAAATAAATAATTGAATTTATTTTATGAAATAAAAGTTGTATTCAAGTGTTAATTTTTCAGCACGGTAAGACATTTTTTATTAATGGCTCATTTTTTACAAAAAGTAAGAAAATCTAGTATTGTTTTTAATAGATAAGCGTAGAAATGTGAATTTTAAATAATTTTCAAGTCATGAAAATGTGTAAAAATTTTTAATACAAAAAATATGAACATTTAACAATAGAACTGAATATTAATAATGGTTGAGTTTCTTCATTATACTTTTAACTCGCCCGTTCCCGTGACAGACGAAAGCGTTTTCTTATTTTTATGAGGATCATTATATTATATTCGATATTCACGTGACCGAGACTAGAGTGAGTTACGTCCGACTAGTATCTACACACAGTGTATATACGAGTAATTTCATTTCAGGAGTCCAAATCCCCCTAATGACGAGTGTTCTCAGTAGTTTGTGCACAGCCACGTCACCGGTTGCCATGTCGATTTCAAAGACTGTTTTTTTTATTTTGTTTTTTGTGTTTAATGACAATTAACAACCGTCATTTTTTTGTAAATTTTAAGTTTAAAACTAGAATGTCATGCTTTGCAAGTGGTTGTAAAAGCGGCTACAAAAATTCATTTTCAGCCATTTCAAGTTTAAGGAAGATATAGTCAACGTATGATCAAATTGTGACAGTTTACGATATATTAAGCTCCAAATTTCTTGTGATGTCATTTCCGGTTTGGATGAATAGTCCATGTGCCTTTTTTGGTGAGTACATCCAAAATACTTTTCCAAATAGAAGCTACTTACGGCAGGCCTGACCTAACCTAACCAAACCTAAGCTATCGAGACTTTTTTCAGCAAAAAAAGTGCTGATTAACATACCGGGGACGTACGTTAATCAGCACTATATAGTTAGAATTAGAACACTAACCGAAGATGTAAGGAATGATTGCCAGGTATGTATCAGCCGAATGAAAGGTGCAGGAGGTCCCGATTAACTATATACGAACTTCTGGTTTAAATCTGAAGTCACGTTATTTCAATTCAAATATTTTCCCTTGAAAGGAATTAGATGACCGGCATGACTCCATTGCTAGCAGGAAAAAGTATGATGCACAGGAGCAAGACACTACTAATTTGAGGAGACGAGCATATATTTTAAATAAATTAAAAATTGCAGTCTGGCGTTGTCACGATGTAACAATAAATAATAATATAATAATTGCGTTAATTTTTATTAAACGTATTAGTTCTTCGAGTGTTTTTGGCATTCGTTTGAGTTCCGGTTAACGGAGAGTCTGTTGTATTTATTATTGCATATCATCTAACTAATTTCTTTACGATTTTATTTTATTGTTTTTCGTAGTTTACAGAATTACCACTGATTCCATCAGAGATTAACAGAACTACCACCAATGATTTAATTCCAACAGACTCGTCGGAGCATGAATTAATGATGGAGTGTGTTCATCTGGATTATCTGTAATATTAAAGCACACAGTATTAGAAATCTACACAATGCAATATTAGTTTATATTTTAAAATAAAGTAAGAAAATTTTATACAGTAACATAAAAATGTGTTTAGATAAAATATATATTATTCGTATTAATATAAATTAAAAATGGGTATTAGTAAAATAAAAATTAAATTAAAAAGTGGGTACTATTTAAATTAAAATACTTTTCTGTCAATACTTTACGTAATCTTAATCTAACTTAATAAACTAACTTAAGTTAGAAAGAGGATTTAATAACAGCATTTTTACTTGGATGCATTGTTCATACATGTCAATAATTTCATCAATACCAACAGGAAGATCTTCATGAACAAATAACAATAAAGCATTAAAACGATCTCGCTGATAGTACTTCACAGATTATTTATAATAAAGCTTGAATTGGAATTAATTTGTTCTTTCAATTGATGCAACAAATGTACTTATCAAAAGTAGATTCATTATTTTTAATATTTGGCATTCTGATGTGCAATTATCTATTAGTATTGTCATTATGGTATCTGTTTTATCTAGTCCTACATTGCTATCTCAAATATTCTCCATATATTTATCTTCCTGATAATATCTATTTAATTTTAGGGGATGAGTACGCAGCGTACGTCCCTTATTCTTCCTTCCAAATTTGTCCGACTATACAATCAGGACAATGTAGATCCGCAGTCATCAATCTACTGTCAAGAGATTCACACAACTTTTTTTATCGTTATTATTGAGCTACTCCGATATATATATTGTATTTACTTCCATATTCACGACTCTAATTATTTAAAAATTATCTCAAATAATTTAACATTAACACAACGGTCCGAAGTATCTAACAGTGAACTAATACTTGTGAATTATTTAAGTCATTGTAAAACAATCATGATGATGTAAATTATTATGAGAGAATTTTACGAAAGTTTCTGATCAATTTTGACTACATGTAATAAACATTTTTTTAAATATAATTATAGTAGTATATTCTTTTCTAAATTTTTATTAACTCTTGTAATATCATATAAACATATTTTAGGCTACTCTTCCTAGTAGACGATTTTCATATTAATTGCACTTGTTTTTACTCTTCCGGCTGTTATATATAACAGAGGCGATCGGTCAAAAAATAACCCCTCCAATATTTTTACATTTTTGGACTTGGAGCTTGAAACGTCGAGAAATGAAAACAAAAAATTAGGTGGTTTTTTCTGTATGTATGGATGTTAATGTATGTGTATGTATATACTGTATATATGTATGTATGTATATGTACTTGTGGGATTTTGTTCTCGCTCTTTGAGGCTTAATAACGCCTGTGATTTTTGTTGAAAATTTCTGAAATTTTGCATGGAGGTTTGTCTATTAGGGTGATTGTTGCTATTAAATTTTGGTAGTTAAAGATCTAGGGGGTGGGGAGATGAAGGAAATCGTGTCATATCTTCAGTATGGTCTGACTTCGACGATTTTACTCATTAATAGCATTTACACTTTGCTGTAAAACCCATCCCTACCCTCAAAATTGAGTTTTTTTTTGTCATTTTATAATAATGAAAAATATAAGAGGTTTTTAAATAAAATATCGTAACAAATGGCGCTACCAAATGTTGCCGGGAAAGTCAGCAACTCGTTACTAAATTTTTTCGTATTAAGTCTACAGGAAATATCTCATTTCAACCGTGGATGAAACAGCAGCACTCCTTATCGCGAGCATTTGGCCATTATTCACGTGTTGTGTCGTTTGCAGGTTGAGTGTAAACGGTGTTGTCCGGCTACGAAACAGTGCGTCTTCGAGAACATCCATGCCTCCATGAACTTATCTATCTGCTTCGATGATATTACAACATCCGAAATAGTCAAGAAATACTAAGGAAATAAATAATGGTAAGTATAAATATTAGTCGATAATTTCAATTCTAAAACTACCAGTGATAATAAAGTAAAACCAAAAGGCACACATTTATTTGAATGACCTAGATCAGTGTTTTTCAACCTTCTTGAATACGCGACCCCTTTATAAGTTAAAAAAATTCTGGCGACCCCCCAGGGCCATATTAAAACTATATCAGTGATTTTAAAAACTACGTATTTAATTATTTTTTTCTGTTGAGACCTAAATATCGATAGAAAAACCAATTGTATTTTAAAATAAAAATTGAAATTGTAGTTTTATTTATTGTAGTGTAGGATCTACAAATACTTGTCTTTTTCTTTTACACGCGAACCCCCGTGTGAGGCTTTGCGACCCCCCTAGGGGTCGCGACCCACAGATTGAAAAACACTGACCTAGATTATTCTGTGTCTCGCCGACATAAGTTGCAATAATATCTGAAATTTGAGTTTGGTCTCAACATTAACCGCTCTAATTTGCAAACTCCCATTCTTACGTCAAAATAGTGCATAGGAATTGAAAACGCCTTTACACTGGCATAGTTATTATCATTTGTTAAAATACCAAGAAATGGAATATCTGCAAGAGATTTTATTATAACTTTCAAGAAGCTGTTACAGAGTTCACTGTTGCAACTGTTTTTGTTCTAGTATTTGATATATTAGTTGCTATTTTTGAGTCGGAAAAATTTGCTTCAGTAATATATCATGTACTGTACAATGATGTGGAACTATGACTGTTGTGATGTGAAATAAGTAGTGTACTGTACATAAAGTAATGGCACCTTTAGCAGAATTCACGCTATTTTCTATGTTACTATTTGTTTCTATTAAAAAATATATATGAAGCAAGGATTGAATCCGAGCAGTCGAAAATCCGGGAATTTTTCAGGGATGGTCTGTCTCAGAAACGTCAGTCCCTCTATAATATATAAAGGAAGTATGGTAATTGGTCAAATTTTGACCTCCATCCACTTGTGTTGCATTTCTCGATGTTTTTATACTGAAGGAGCCCAAAATTAGAAAATTTTGTGTATATGTGTTTTGGTATGTATTTTCCATTATATCTGAGGACTGGATAAACCAGCGATTTTGAAACTTCTATATATGGGGCATTGATTTGATTCTATTAAATTTTGTTGGTTAAAGATCAAAGGAGTGGGGCGATAGAGGACTCGTGTCATATCTCTAGAGGGATCTGACTTAATGTTACTCGTTATTGACATTTAAAATATTTTTATAAAAAAACTCGATCTCGATCCACAAAATTAAGGTCCGGATTCACAAAAGTGTCGTTAGTTACAACGTCGTATTCTTGCAACGCCGTTAAATACGACAAATTTACGAATGACATCGTAATCCGATTTATTATTTACGATAAAATGTCTGTGATCTGATTTAGAGAATATACTGTTTCGTCCAATAGGAATATACTCCGGGAACCTTCAAAATGGAAGTTGTCCCCGATGTGTAGTTGATAATAACAACTCTATTTATAATTTTAATAAGATTAAGAGAATAATATGTTATACATGGCGTGTACGCATTTTCAAATGAGGTTTCAGTTCCTCAATTAAAC